GGGCAAGGGGTTAATCTTTATTACCGATATAACTGTTTCTGTCACACCTTTATCAGCATCCGTACCACGAGTCTGATTCGTTCTTACGAGACAAGGGGTAAGCTCTGGCACTATACTTTTGAGTACGACGATGATTCATCCCGAATGCTCAAAGAAAGAGAAAACTTCGTCGCAGTAGTTGTCGAAAACATTCGAATTGAAGAATTTCCTTTGTAAGCACGTAATACCACGCCCACAAGTACTGTTGCCTTCGTCAAGGTGTTAATTACAGCAGCCAATTCGCAAGTTACAAACGCTTCAGTTCTACGCGACTAAGAGCTAACGCTCTAATTCCGAAACTACTGTCACCGTCGCATCCAGCACGCAACACGCGCATGGCGACCTGGAATTTTCCACGTGGGATCGGTCCAAGTCGCCGGTGTCGCTGGAACTATCGCGAAGTGGGCTAAAGGCGACCCACATGCGCGGGTCGCCAGCGAACGCGACGCATTGAGGTCGCGGCCGATGAGAAACGAGCGCTTCCGCTCGACAAACGACTCGAGACGTGTTTGAGGTTTCAAAAGACTTAGGCTGTTTTCACACTAGTGATATCCAAGCGGTTGTTCTCTTGCGCGACAATCGTGCGGCTGCTGCCCTTTTATCTTTCTTTTTCCACCGTATAGACGGTATTGTGCAGACGTTGTGACATGTTCTCTTTAACGCTCTTGTCAAATGTGAAAGACGATTTGACCCTGAATAACCCGATTTTTCTCCGTTCGTGAGAAGAAAAGTTATGGTTGATTGCAGTCTTATATTTCAACGGGAGAAGCAAGAATTGATAATGTAATAGTGTAACAGTAATCAAATAAAATGAGAGTCATGAAATATACAGCGAGGAAATTATAAAAGAAATAATTGTGACTTGTAAATGAATAACTTTATTCCGATAAATGTTGTACATTTAAAGTAATATTCAACATAAACATATAAAAAAGTTAAGTTTATATTCCGCAATTTGCCAACTAATTCGAATAGAAATTCGTAAGTGTGTCACATTTGATTAATTTGAAATTTGAAAAAAATTAATTTGACTTCGATATCTCCCCCGCTGTTACACCTACAGAAAAACCATTTAGAGCACATAACGTGTCCCTTTATACTAGACAACTTGTACACGAACATTATTTTCACAGCTTAAATTTCTCGTGTGATATTCCACCGTTCTCGTTTAAACGTAAAATATATGCGGTCCCAAAATATGCGGTTTCGTCAATTTGACGCGTGTCGGTAGAGATAGGTATGTAAGAAATGACCGTAAACCTAGTGTTAAAGGGTTAACACTATAACAACCAAACCCGTAAAAATGGCGAATTTCAAATTTCTCACTTTAAATTGCAGAAATGATTAAGTGTCCAAGTGTATGGTGACACTTTTGTTGAAATAAAGAAATAACTATATACGCCAATTTATTTCCTATTAATCAGTCTAATGTCCAAGTTGTTTTTATAGAGTATACCAGAAGGGAAAAGTTCAACTCCGGTTGTTCCAGTGTTGAAGCAACTGATGCAGCGAAATAACCGCCAGTGCGAACCCACTAATATAATACAGAGTTGTCAGCTAGCAATAGCGACGGTAAATTCCCCGCACGGTTTTATATGCTATAGTCGGTGAAGTTGAGTGCACCGTATGTGGTAGAACTACCGCACCTAGTCAACATGAACGCAGTAATTTAGAACGATGTTCTGCTTAATATCCCGCCTTTTTCACGCGGTCGTATAACTGCCTAAAAACCGTTACTGTGAAATCACTTTCATGCAACCAGTTTCATATCAATGACCCAGACTTCCCTCGTGCTCTGACTTGACACATAAAGAAAATATGTTTGAAAGTTCGTTTCTATTGACTGCTAAATTGCTGTAGATAGGTGTAGATCAAACTCGTCAACATAGTATAGTACGATAGTAGATAAGATAGTACGAATGCATAATTTTACACCTACAAATCCTACTTAATGTACTTACATTGTAAATACATTGTATATCAAATCATCGTTAATTTATGTATCTGTTATAAATTTATAACTTGGCCTCTAAACATTAGTCTTTGTAGTTTCGTACAGTGTGCATAAATCCTTATTTTTATCAATTTATAAATACATATAAATTACTTATTGTTTAAGGGACGAAAGAAAATAAACTTAAATGGAAGAAAATTGCACTCTTTATTTAAAAACGAACTTGATAAATAACGAAACTTTGCTTTCAACAATTCATTTTCCACACTCCTTTCAGTTGTCAACGATGCCTCTTTCGAAACGTACTTATTCAAGCAGACACGTTTTCCCGAAACAACAGTGACCACTTTTCATTCCATCGATAGAAAGCTACACAGTTAGAAAGAGATTTCGCAATCATCGATCACCAGTTTGCTCTCGTTACTACTACCTGACGTCACATAACGGATACCTGCCCGTTGTTTACACAGGCTCCGCGGACTTTCTGCTCTGGCAACGTGACCGAAATATAACAAAGTACTGTAATTTTAGACGAAACCACGTCGTCAATTTCTCTGACCAGCAAAAAGTTTGTTTACCATTTACAATAACGCACGATTCGCACAGCATTGCACCTTTTAACATATCCTCCAATTACCGCGATTTATTCTTCCTGCATTATCCATTGACACGCGTTTAAATATGCAACATGGCACAAAAGAAATGGCACAAAATGAGATCAAGCTTCACGTTTGATTTCAAATTTTAGAATCCAAGATCATTTTAAGATCCTATTATTGTGTATGCTTAAATGCATACCAATGTCTGCTACAACGTACAGTAGAAAAGTATGTATTAGGTCATCCCACAAGTTCGTGTCAAAGTTTTTAATTCAGATCAATATCTCCTTTAAATTTCATTTGAAAAGACGTAAGCGCCTTCTCATTTCGCAACTTTTTTTTTTTTTTGGTGTGACTATTATGTCGTCGCTATAGTATTCCCTTGCATTTTCATCAAAATATTTTTCGCTTTCGGCACTAATATATTCGTGTTAGAGAAATATAGGTGATCTTGAAAAAAAAAGAAAACAGAAAAAATTGCATCTATAAACAAATTTTCCTTCCACCTTATTCACCCCTGGAAACCATGTAAATTACGTACAAAGATTTTTCCGTCACCGTTATAATTAGACGGCCTATTCTACGTGGTCCACTCTGTATAAAAAATAAATCACAACTAAAGAAAATATTCCCTCGAACAAATGCAGTTAAGATGGAAAAAAAAAAAAAGAAACAATTCGGAGACACAATATGAAAATGATCGCGTAACAGCGACGAGTTTATGTCATTTCATCGCGAGACAGGAAATAAACGTCAATCGTGAAAATATCTTACATCTGCTCACAATAAATACCGCTGAAACTGCACGCCAAAACAGCTAATCAAAACTCTGTCGCCAATTTCAAAATCCCGGAACTGGCAGGCAGTTCGAGGTATCGATTGCGACGCACGTTTTCGATAAAATAGATTCTATCCTTGAACTTTAGTCCGCGTCAAATGTCACGGACACCACTCCGATTGATTCTATGCAGATAATCAATGCATAAAGGAGTGTATTTTTATTTTCATTTGTCCGCTGATAATGTAGAGTGTCTATTATTAAAATTGTTCAACCGTATTAAAAATATATCATTTTATTCGTCGACATACGTTAGCCACTTTGTTCGATTATTGGTTTTCATGATCTACAGGCAACTATTAGATCGAAGAATGTGGAAAATTCCACGACCTACATATATATAGATAATGTGTTTATTTAAGTTCAAAACACTTCCGAGTAGTTAAAACACGATTCTAACTGATAGAAGGTCGTTTATTAGGTAATCCTCTAAGTTCGTGTGGAATTTTACAATTTTGATCTATACTTCCGCGAACCTTCAAATTTAAACAAAAAGAAAAAAAGAAACGTAAGCATCTTCTCATTCCACAACTTTTCCCTATTTTCTTTTTTTTTATAAGACCATTATGTCGTCGCTATAGAATTTCCTTGCATTTTCATTAAAATATTTTTCACTTTAGGCCCGAACTTATGACCTAATAATTATATATATTTTTCTAATCTCTTTCTTTGGTAACATAACTTTGTTGCACTATCTGAAAGAAAAATTGTAGCATGATGCTATGCACGAGAAGTAAAACACACACGAAGAAAAAGTATCCATTGTGAAATTTTCGATTCAGATCAATGTTCAATTGTAAAACCAAACTTCGTTACAAAACACTTTGAAAGAAACATCTTTGAATACAACGATATCGAAGATAATTATAATTCGTGATTAATTGGCGTAAAGAATGTTTCAAAATCTGACTAGACACACGTAAAACGCAATAAATACGAATTATTTCTTGACTACCGAATAGATCCATAAATGTATTGTTAGTCACTGTTATTTAACACAACCTTTTAAGCATAGGAATAATGAACGAAAGGTATTCAATAGTTCAACCATTTGCTTTTATCTTCTAACAAAGGAATATCCCCAAGTGTCACTCACCGATTTTGATGACATTTACGTATGATGTAGCTCTCGAAAAAAATATTCGACACGTATTTTTTTTTATCGGTCATCATTCATGCTGAGGGGGTGAAAACAGCCCTCAAAGTTGGGGTGTTACGATCTCGTAAACTATTAGAGATAGGGGAATGGTTTAAATGTAGATATTGTGTGTTTCTCAACGACGAATTCACCGACATAATTTTAGAAAATTTTAGAAAAATCCATTTGTTTAAATAATGCATTGAAAACTCCTAATTTTTAGTTAATTCTTCATGCAAGATGTTAATCCATTTTCGTACAAATTTGTGCACATGTATCTACTCCTGGCTGAAGTACAAAATACGAATACATCGGAGTTTTTACTTACATTCTGTGCAAAATGTTGCCTTGTAAGTTAGACGATTAAAATAAGAACACACGAAGATGTCGTATTTTTTAAAAGAAAATATTTATTTAAATTTCGTAACCTACCATTTTCAGTGTTTCTTCCGGTCTCAGTAGATAAAACATAGATTGCAAGTGCTGTTGGATGTCGCATCCTGCCGCAGAAACCCTTCTCGAGGGTCTGGCCCTTTCATTGGGTGGTAGAACTAGGGCCGCACCCTTCCCAGCGAAGTAACATTCGCTCAGGCTGCAACAGAAACAAGGAAAAACCTATTAGTACAACTGAAAAGTTGCAGGTGCAGGCCTTCATACGAGTCTTTTATTTTTAAAGCGATATAAGCCCAATTTTTAACGGATCTCGTCTTTTTATATTTACAGCAACAACGTCAATACGCGACAATATCCTCGTGAACTAATCGAAAGAAGTTTCCAACTATAGTACGGGTCGAATGTATTGGCCGGTCAAGGCCATTTCTCCTCCATCGCTTTTCGGTTCCATTTTTACCGTTCGGCAGTTAACAGTCACCCTATAAAATCTTTCTGTTCCGTCTTTAAGACTTTCGCTGTCTCTCGTAGTCAGAAAAGGGCATGCCGCGTGCCACCGATTCGTAATCTCAACCAGGCATGCACACACACACACTTACGCCGGCTCTACGTTCAACGAAGGATTCTTGGTATAAGTAGCAGCCTATCGCACAGCAGCAGCATCGACTTTTGATGTGACCGACCGACACGCACTGTCGACGCTGGCACACAAGATACCGCATTCCGGACCGCATACGTTGCGCTCGTGGCAGCGAAAGTGTTAAACTACGCCTGACGTACCCTCGTAAAACATAAGATAGAGACAGCATACTGATAAAAAAAAGGGGGGGCGGAGGAAAGACAAAAGAAAGAGGTGTACCCTAATAAGACGAAGAAAGTATATTTCCGCTAGAAGTAAGCCAAAGATCGCGTTACAAAAACAGATACGCCCGTGTGCCTGTGACGTTGACCTGTCGAACCCCACTTCGTGCACAGGTCTCCTACGGCAGGGCTCACGGTGGGGGGAAACGATGGAGGGAGAATGACCATGACCGGCTAATATATTCGGCTCGTACTATAGATTTAACGATACATTTAAGGGGGCGTTTCGAAGCGATTTTTAGGATAAAAAATTATTAGTTATAAAGCCAGGAACTTGAAATTTTTCACACACGTTTGGTCATGTTTCAGGAAAACACGGTGTAATTTTTATGTAATTATCTTAATTATTATTTAAGTGATCACAAATTTTTCACTCAATGTGCCATTCTGAATGGCTGCCGTGATTCTCGTTATTGTATTCATTTGAAACAGAAAAATTAAAGGTACACTTAATCCATATGAGTGTTGTTATCGTTGCTACTAAAATAAAGCAAAGAAAAATGGATCTTGACAAAATGGCAGCCGTATAAACCAGAAACATCGTTTTCATCATGAAAGTTTTAACTCCCTCGGTCGATAAAAAAAAAAACTTTTGCAGACATTGACATAATTCTAGTACAGACGATAAAGGGATATCTATTTTACACGTATGCGAAATTTGGGAGAGGTTTGTTAATTCATTATTGAGAAATCATGGCAGCCAGTTTGCAAAACACAGTTCTAGGAAAACGCGTTCAAAGTTTTGTCACACTTAGCGTTTCTAAAGGTGCATCACTAAACACATTTTCTAAATGTTATACTTTGAGAAAATACGATAAAAAAAACGATTTTTTGATCCCTTCAAATGAGAATCCCCTCTTAATCCTTAGCATATCAAGGTGAAACGTCGTCTTACTTCGTTTTGTATTATTTTTTATTTCCCTTTTTTTATTCACCCTAATGAAAATACTATATTTATTTATCTGTAATTTCCTCTCTAGAAAATAAGCTATAGCAATTACCAACGTGCATATACTAAGAATAATGAAAATATACAAATCGCTCTCATTTATTTAGGCACAAACATCGTTCACATAGTGTTATTATTCCGATACAATCATCGTATCAATTCATCGGCTACCGAAGAAGGCAAAAAGTAGAGAACAGACATACGGAAACACAAACTACGCAAATCATACAAACCTTCACGGAGATTTTTAATTTTTTTTTTTTCCAAAAATCATTTTAACCGATTTTCTGTTTAATCTGTTTTTATTCGCCGAAACTGATAATAAGACACATAGAAAAATACCAAGCAGTGCATTTTCAACAATTGAAAAATAGTATTGTGGTTCCTGAGTGACCTCACTTCGTATACTAAGGGTTAACCCAACGACACGTATACAAGCTTCAAAACATTTGAAAATAACCTGGAACTTCCTCCAAG